AAGGAGATAGCGACTTTTATTTAACTGACTTTTTGGGAAAGGGCCCAATAAATCGATGCCAATTATTTCATTTGGAAATTCGGATTTAATACTATTTAGAAACCCGGCCGGGCGGAAATTAATATAATTAACTGCTTGACATGTTGGGCAGGACTGGACATACGCCCTTGTTAACTTTTGCAGTTCAGGAAAATAGACTGCCTCGCGTACGCGTTGGATAGTTTTTCGAATACCAGCATGAGAAGCTAAAGGGCTGTCATGGAGCTCCTGCAGGATATTTAATCTAAGACTAGCTGGGATAACAGGTCGAAATTCGTTGTTGGAATTCGTAGTTTTTGTATAAATAATAGACCATCTATTAGTTCGTAATGGGCCGCCCTATTTCTTATCGCCACAATATCTTGGTGGCTAAAATTTTCAGGATCCTTTAAATACTCATAAATGCTTCCAAACTCAGGATCCTTACCCAGTTCGGTTATTACAGTTTCTCGGGAATTTATTGTACATGCTGTGAGCATTGCCACCTTTACAGTATTACCTTCTTCATCTATTTTAATTCTGGATAGGGCATCTGCTACGATATTTTCCTTTCCGGGGGTATGCTTGATTACCAGATTATATTCTTGTAGCTTGAGTGCCCATCTTATTAACCTTGGGGATAAGTTTTTTCCCTGAGTACAATCTAGTTACCGCCGCATGATCAGAATACACTGTTATTGGCGCCTTTCCAAAATAGACTCGGAACTTTTGCACTGCTAACAGAACTGCAAGTGCCTCTCTCTCGGTCGCGGAATAGTTTCTTTGTGTTTGATTTAAAGTTCGGCTAAAAAATGCCACGGGCTGCTGATTTTGCGAAAGTACCGCTCCTACCGCATAATCCGAAGCATCCGCTGAAATTTCTAAATTCTCATCCTTTTCAGGAAATTTCAACACAGGGGCTTGCGTTAATGCTTGCTTTTAATTTTTCGAAAGCACTATTGGCTTCGGCCGTCCACGAGAATCTTGCCTTTTTCCTTTTTAATTTTAACAATGGTTCAGCAATAGCTGCAAAATCTTTTATAAAGGACCTATAATATGAACAAAGTCCTAGAAAAGAAGAGAGCTTCTTCGCCGTGTTTGGAGTCGGATACTTTTGTACAGCGATTATTTTTGATTCGTCTCTGTCTCGATTCCTTTCTGAGATATTTTGTAACCTAAATATTTTAATTCAGGGGCTGCAAATTTGCACTTTTCGACATTAACTTTTAGACCGGCCTCATTTAATAAAGAAAACACCTGTCTTAAATCCTGTACATGTTGGTCGAGATTATCACTAGTAATAATGATATCGTCTAAATAGATAAATGTGGACTTTCCAAGAACAGGCCTTAACACAATGTCCATACATCGCTGAAATGTTGCCGGTGCCCCTGAAAGGCCAAACGGCATACGCAGAAATGCATAAGTGCCAGACTTGGTTATAAAAGCAGTCTTAGGCACGTCCTCAGGCCTAACCCCTATTTGAAAATAACCAGTCGTTAAGTCTAAAGTCGTCATATATTTGGTGGATGTTATGTTCCTTAGAATTTCTTCAATAATAGGTAACGGATATACCGGATATTTAGTTATGGAGTTTAATTTACGGTAGTCAATTGCGAATCTCCACCTTTTTGGATGTGTCAAAGGATAGTCATTATTTTTCTTACATAAAACCACCGGGCTAGCATAACTACTTGAGATGGGCGTTATGATCTTTTTACGTAGCATATCGGTGAATATGCCATTCTATAATTTTTTCCTTATTCTTATCATACCGGTATGCTTTGTGGCGAACTGGCATTGAATCTCCGGTGTCAATACTATGGTTAGTAACCTGAGTAAATCCTGGAATATCACTAAATAACGAAGCAAATTCACTTACCACTTGTCGGATTCTTCGTTGCTCTTCATTAGGCAGGTGGTCAAGGTTTAACATCGGCGGTTCAGCCTTTTCTTCACGAACTGGTTTCATTGTCAGCTTAAGGGACGCTTCATTAAAATCCAGCGTTGCTTGTGCCTCTGAAAGAAAATCTATTCCTAAGATAATATGTGCTTGCAGATTCTTTACTATGAAAAACATAACCTTTACTTGTTCGTCCTTGATACGGACATACAGCGGTAATTTACCTATACACTTACATCTTTCTCCTTGCGCAGCTAACACTGTCGTATTATCCGAATTATATATGCGGTATTTACGAAAATACTTCCTAAAAAAATCTTCTGCCACACAGGAACACTGCGCGCCTGTATCCAGGAGTGCGGTGGCTGGGATATTATTCACCAACACTTCAATCTTCGGAAGAGTCAAATTTTTCACCATTACTGTATTTAACTTGAAGGAAGAGGGGTTTTCGTGGCCTTCGGATTTCCGCACCCTCCCGTCAGCAGAAATCCGTTTTAGTTTAAATTATTTTTCATTTCCGTGCTTTCCTTCTTTTTCCACTGGCCTTGAGACTTTTTTTTCTGGATTGCTATTGAACTGTCGACGTTCGCCGGCTGTTTTTGAATGCTCGGGTTTCCTTGCCCACTGATTCGCTTTGCTTCCGTAGCCGTGTGCTTGAGTTTGCTGTGGCGCACCCAAATTGGTTTCGCTGTTGATATTGGCGTCTTCTTTCTTTCAATGTCCGCCGTTCTTCTACTTTCAAACTGGATTGCTAGCTCAAATAACTTTTCCAGTGTAGTCGGATTTCTTAATTCAATAAAGTCTTGCACTTGGGGCAGTAACCTCGGCAAAATCACTTGAATTATCTCAGGATCCGGACGGTTTCCATACAAGAGTTTGAAGACGTGAATTTTTCTTAAAATAAAGCTTGAGAGATTTTCGATTCTTTGCTGATATATGCTGAAAAGTTCCGTTTCTAATTTCGCACGATCCCTTACGACAGGGAAGGCTTTTACTAGGGCAGTCTTGAAATTTTCGTAAGTATAGGTGGGACTTCCTGCTTGACCCAAGAGACTTCTGCCTATACATTTGAACCAATTAAGCGCTTGGCCCCTCAAAGCGCTGGTAGCTAAGGTAACTTTTTGAAACTCGTGCACGGGGTAGAGCATGAAGTGGTCATCCAATTTTTCCAAAAAACTGGTTACCGGTGAGTTTCCATTAAATGTTGCTTCTGGTTTCATCGAAGCGCGCATGGTCTGGACGATGTAACCAAGGGCGGCAGCTGGCATTTCTGCTGGCCTTCTGCAGGCAGCACAGGTTCTTCTTGAAACTCGGCCATGGTTATTCTTCTTCGTTGGGCGCCACTATCAGGTTCAATGTTCCGTCTTACTTTCTTCGGGAACATGCAAGGACCTGACTCGGAACAGAGAGCTTACTAAAGCTATGTTCAATAACTGTGGGAAGTAGACAGATAGGTATACAAAACCCTTTATTTTTCTTTATTTCTTTTCCGTACTTCCGGAATACACCCACGTAAGTAATAAAAATTAAAACTAAACTCTAACTTTAAACTTGAATAATAAACGTGGAAGATTGGCCTTATATTAACAGGAAGCCGTATGTAGTACAGAGAACTGTTAACACTACAATACGTTTAAATTATCAAGAGGATTAAACCTCTGGCCTGGAAGGCAACCAGCAACTGAGTAAAACTTCTAAGGTAAGCGGCCTGCCTTCTTCTACTGCTTCCTCTCTCTCTTCGCTTGGCAACAAAGCCTTAAGTACTTGGCTTGTTCGCCAGACAAATTTTGCATAAATAAGTTAACGCTTATAATTCTGGCCGGAAGTAGAAAATAAGAAGTGATAGTAAAGATTTAAAATAAAATAAACGTTAGTAAAACTTAAGATCCTTACATAGTTTTGAAACACCCGATTAAAATTTACTTAAAATTTTTTTCAATATTAACTTCATATTTTTATAAGTCTACTAATTTTAAAAAAAATATGTCTGAAAACTGAAGAGTATAGTGCGGGTTATGAATTCTTTTTTCCAATAGTAAAGCAGAAACGCGTTTCTGGTTTACTATGCTTTAATATACCATGACATTAAGTGATCGCGATCACCGAATGCCATATTGCCTCGGTAGACGAAATGGGGATGTTTACAACAGTCAAAATTGTTTTAAAATTAAACAGAACTGAATTTGTTACCGTGATTTAAGGAATACGAGCCAGTTTCCCTTAAAAATCTTCCACATCTTCCATCTTTTCCTTTTGGATAAATAACTCATGGATGCTTTGTTATATTTCAAATAACTTAATACAGTTAACAGTTTACTGTGTTTGAATGCGATTTTCGATCTAGCCTTAAAAAATTATTCTAAAGTAGAAAATCTGTGTAAGATTGATGAAACAAATTTAAAAGTGTGGGTTCTTATTGCATTCAATTGCTAAATGATCTTTCTTGTCCGAAGAATAAATCAAATGTGGTTGCGATATCTTCCAAGGAAATTAACAGCAAAAGCATGATTTTAATTTCATATTCTTGAGTTTATTGTTTTGAAAGTTTTGCGAAAGTTTCTGAATTTCTTTCCATAATAATAGTTGCAAAAAAAACAAAGTAAATTTTCTCTGCTTCTGATTAACTTGAATATGGTAAAGCCACTATGGCTATCTTCCTTATAAGGAGGAATGCTTTCGTGGAAAACTTTCTGAGAGTAACTGGCTTATATTAGCATCATACACGAGAACTTATACTTAAAGATACCTACAGCGCCTGGGCTCAAAGCCAAAGTAAATCGAACTATTAGTATTTAGCAGTCCTAACCACTCAGGCACTGGTGAAGCTTCTCTGCTACACGTATAAGCCATTTCATCTGCTGAATCGCGTCATATGTGTGGGACAGTGGGCAAAAATTGGGTTATCTGCCCACACATACCCCCTTTGTTTTTCATGGTATTTTTTGGCACTTTTTCCATAAATAACTGAAACCGTACTTCTTTCCTGAAAGCTTTATATTTTTCAGACATAAAATATATATTAAAATTTCCAGTCAGATATAGTTATTATTCTGAAAATTGATGAAAATAATCTTACTTCACTGTCTTTCGTAGGACGTCTTACACCTTCACATGCTTTAATTACATGATCACAAAATTTTTCTTGCAGTCGGAGATTTTCAGCAGTTTTGAATTTTCTGTAGTATTCAATTAAATTCTCAGTAAGCTCTTTCCTATACGTGTCTGTGGAAAAGTATAAAAAACATTAAGATGCATGCATTATACTTACGCAACTAATCTCTCTTCCCCCCCCCAATTCTTAAAACTATATAATACAATTAAATACTCATCTACATAAATTAGCAGAGATTTCATATATATGTATAATATCTCTGTTTCAACTAGTTAAATGTTTGCAATATCATAAATGGATATATATATATATATATATATATTATATATATATATTAAAAGAAAACTCAGTTCGTATTCAAATATTACATGTACACTGCTAAAAAAAAAAAAAAAAAAAAAAAAAAAAAAGGACAGTGCTATATTATCCGTTCTAATAAGCGGATTGACAAAATTCAAACTGCGTTTTTCATGTCTCGAAAGCGCGACTTAGGATATATATTAGATTTATATATAGCACTATTCTAACATAGGTATTTTGACACAAAATCGGACTTTTTCTGAAATAACATACCAATTTTTTCCATATTTCGATTCTACGACTCAAATTATGCCAGAATACCAAGTTTTTGTAAAAATCGTACGACTAGTTTTTAAAATATTAGCTTTCAAA